GCTCTTCCGATCTCCCCAAAACCCCAAAACCCCACTAAAAAATATATGCATGAATTAGATAGGTTTAAAATAAAAATAAATAATAAATTAGTTTAATGGAATATTCGAGAGATATCGAAAATATCTAGAAAGATTTAGAAGACTTAAATACTTTACTTCTAATTGCTAACAGGGATTTCTCTAAGAAACTTCTTGAAAAAGAAATCAAGCATCTTCTATGCCTTGAATCAGTTATTGATGCGGAGTAAAACTTGCTAAAATAAATAAGCACAGAAGTTGTTGAGAAGTAGGATAAAGGTGAATAAGAGGAGACCAAGGATTACATTAAAAAGGATTATCTTATTTATTCAATGCTGACAAGGTATGCATGGGAATAAAATGATAAATATCTAAAGTAATATTATATTGCTGATTAATTATTTAAAGAATGTATGTGACTTAAGACTTAAAAGGAATTGGCGAGCATGAAAAGAAGAATATTGATTGTGAGTTTACAGATAACTCAATAGATTTGAGGATATTAAGCTTTAATGGGAAAAATTTTAGATTAAATATTCAACCTCTCAATAGTTTCATTGATCCTGCTTCTTGCAAGATGAAGGTTAGGGCCAACAGGATTACATTGTGACTAAAGAAGAATAAGGCAAAGCTTTGGGATGATGTAAAAGAAAAGAAGAGCTTAGTCGGAGATTCCTCAGTCAAGAAAAAGAACAAAGGAGATGGAGGCGAATCAAAGGATCCAGGAAATTCATTAATGAATATGATGAAAGAATTATATCAAAGTGGAGATGATTAAATGAAGAGGACTATAGCAGAGAGTTGGGAAAAGGCACAGAAAGAAAAAGGGGCTAAATTAGAATTGTGAAGAGAACAATTAGACTTAAATTTGATTTATGAGAGTTTACTAGTTAAATGTTATTTAAATTTTGAATCCTTATTCAGCCATTCAAGATTTGATCAATTTTAGTTCATCTCTATATTAGCTGGCAAATAGGTATTCAATGTGTTTTGAATCTGACCAAAACGACTCCATCATTTTAGAAGTTGTAAATCTCGAAATTTCTCTCTTCTAAATACTCAGGAATTTTAAACTTCAGCACAGCTCTGCCCTTGCTGTGATTGCCTTTTCCACAGACTATCTTCAAGACATGATTGTTTTTATCAATGTTAGGCTCAATTAAACCCTTATCTAAGTCTACCTAAATTTATCTCAACCTTCTGTCAAGGATTACTTTCGCCTCACTGCAATGCATTCCATGCAAATCAATATACCAATTCATGGTATCTCCATTATTCTTGATCTGGAAAATCTCCATCTAAGCTTTTTGAAGTTATTATTCATACAATACTCTATATTTTTCAGCTTCTTTTTAAGCATACTCCATCTATTGATAGTTTCCTTATTTTTAGGCTTGTCTTGCTTAATTAAGGAAGAGTTTTCTCTTATCGTAAAGTTATTAAGTCAAGCTTCTATTATTATTATAAATCTACTGAGAAAAATTGGCATTTGATTTTTGCTTGTTTATGTTTCTAAACTTTGAAAGAATTTATTGTGTAAAAAAATTCTAAGAATCTCTAATACTCTTAATATGCCCTTGCTTTTTGTCTATTTATTCTTGCTTTTTCTGAGCGAATTTAAAGAATCTTTCAAGCTAATTGTCTTAATACTGATTTTGTTTAGACATTAGGTTTGGAAAAGCTATTTCTAGCAATTTTTCAACTAGCATTGCATCATTTAAAAGTGAGTAGGTTTCTTGGATCAAATTATGATCTAGAGCTTTGAATTTATCTTAGATTCTATACAGTTACTCCTCTTATTATGCATTACTTGCATTAAACTTTTTTCTTTGTTAGAAATCCATGTGATGGTGCTTATCCATTCTTTACTTGACTTAATCATCCTTGACTTTTCTGAAAATTATTTTTTCATCTATTAGATCTGGGAAGTCCTTTTTACTGTCAATAGGTACATAACCTTAGCCATTATAATGATTATTCTGTGGTTTTTAGCCTGAACCATTTTTACCATTTTAGTTATTCTTTTGATTATATAAAGGTTCCTTTTGCTCCTCATAGGCTACTCCTCTGTCTTTTAATAGTTGTTAAAGCTAATATTTCTTCTATAGCAGAGTGAAATTTTGAAGTTAGATATCAACCAAGAATTACATAAATACATCTTGCTCGTGTTACTTCAGAGTTTTTGCTTTTTTCATTTGCATATCACCATTTGATATTTTTTTTGCTTTTTTATTTTTATTAACTTTTTGGTCAAATCTATAGTTGTATATGTACTAGGAAAGCATCTATTGAATTTTAAAATCAGTTAGCTGAGTCTCAGTCAAATTAAGCTCCTACATAAGTTCTGAGTCTCTCTCACTTTCCATTCTTTCTAGCTCCTATTACTCTACCTTCTATGCAAACAATCAATCTTGCTCAAGTCAGCTTATCTCAGAGTAATAATCTGAGGAGTTTATAATTTACTCATCTTCATCCATCATCTATTCTTTCAAATTATTCTCATTATGTTCATGGAATTAGCCTTCTAAGTCCATCAAGAACTAGAAAGCATCATCAAACGTGTTTGACTATCTATAAACTAAAATATGTTGAGGTTGAAAATGAATTACCTTATTCAATGATCTCTTTGTCTGCCTTGAAATAATTAATAAGTGTTTCAAATTCTTTTCTGTTCTTCTCTTGCATCTAGGGAGTCATCTCTTCCTTAAAATTATAAGCATCTTACTTTATATGATTCTGGGAAGAATCTAATTGACTATGCATTGAACTTGAATTTACAAGACTAATGTTTTCGCTGTTCATTCTCAGAAACTGAGACTCGTCAATTCTATTCATCATAATATCGAAATCTTAATCATCTTCAATGATATAAGGCTCAGAGTAATTTAGATTACTTTACCTTGGAGATTTGCGCTCTTCAAGATCATTACTACTCTTTCATCATTAGCCTTTAGCATCAGATTAAATTTTTTACGGATTAGATTCCTAAAATTCCATTCCCTAATATAAGTAATAATCTTTCATTTCGCTATCTGAATCTTTATTCTCGCTTTAACATTAAGGGATCTCTTGTTAAAAAAGCATAGATAGCTATTCCAAAGCTCTTTAGAAAGGATCATCTCCCTTTTGTCTAAATATATCCTCTATAATATCTTTCTCACACTGTGGAAATAGATCTTGGAGAAGTTTGATCGATTAAGTTTCAATTTGAGCTTAGCTCAAACCTACATTAGACTTCTATTAGTAAACTTATTTAAAGTTCTTATGTCTAGCATTTTTGAACTTTTGATTTTCCTCCTCTTTATTCTATTATTATATTTTTTTCAGTTCTTTATTGAACTTCCTCTATCGTTTTTTTTATTACTTTTTCTCCATCTTATCATTCATTTTCTAATTTATATATGCTGCTTGAAAGAGTTTAAACTTTTCTATAGTAACCTATTATTATAATTATTAACTAGAGATCATATATAATTAAATAGTATATAAAAATAGTAGACTTAAAAATTATCAATATGAATGATACCTTGTTTTTTATCTTAATTAAGTATATTAACATCTTCATGACATTATAGGCACTGAATCATAAATTTACTTTCATCAATCAATTTCAATCCCATAGTTTGATTGTGCCATCCCAGCCACAAGTAGCTACTTTTGATGGCTCAATAGGATGCCACTTCACATCAATGCAAACTCCTTCATGAACCTTCATTGTCCTCAAGTTCTTACAAGACTTCCAGTTCCAGAACCAGAGCTTTCCATCAGCATCGCCTGAACCTAAGAATTGCCCATCTGGAGAGAAGTCAAGGCCACAAGCATAGCCAGAATTTAAGTGACCACTGAACTTCTTCTTTCTGTTCATCTTGAAATTTCCTTTGCAATCATAGATCACAATTTTATTATCCATCGATTACCCAGCGAAATATTTCCCATTAGGGTGCATTACAGCTGCTGGAATAGCCTGCATATCTGGTTCACTGATATGCTTTGCTACTACGGGAATCCCGAACTCCCAGAGAAATATCTTCTTGTCATCAGCAGTTGAAACGAATCTACGACCACCCTCTATAAATGTTATAGTGTTAATTGACCCCAAATGCTCCTCATACTGTAAAGTAATTTCGCTGGAATTGGTATCGAATTGTAAAATTTTTTTATTGGCGCATCCTGCCAAGAAGATGTTCTATTTGTCATCTGCTGGATGGAACTTCACGCAGAAAGGTGTCTTTCTATTGGTGAAACTTCTTATAACCTTTCCTGTCTCTGTATCCCATAGCTAAATGACTCTATCAAAGCCCGCACTAAGGAATCTCCTGCCATCGTTACTAAAGGAGATGTCTCTAACTGCCTTAGTATGACCCATGTAGGTTCTCATGCACTTTCTATGAGTCATTACATCCCATATCTTGATGGTGCTATCATGACTAGCTGAAAGCATCAAATGCCCATATTTAGGGAAAAATTCTATTTTCTAAACACCTTTATTATGTCCAACCCAGGTATGAACCCATTTCTTGGGGATAAAGCAAGCATGCTCTTTATTCCTCAGATAAGGTGGATGATCAATAAAGCTCTTATTAGCTCCGTAGTCCCCACCTACACCGTGAAAGATAGTTGTAGATTTGTGGACTTCAGTATCTTCATCATTACGAGGCTTGTGTTCGTCAATTCTCTCTTTTCGCATCTCCTCATACCTTTGCATCATTTCCTTTTGTTCCTCATCTAGGTCAGCTCTCTGAGTTTTGAACTGCTCCATGCCATCGTAAATAGCCCAGGGACCCATAAATTCTCCAGATGCTGGATCTCCTGCTGCTTGTCTTTTCCTTTTGAGTTCTTTTTTATAGGCTTTGCGACTCTTGGAAAGTGTGTTCTCCACACCTGCATCCATATCAATTTTGTTCACTGTATTAGAGTAGACTAATTTCTTACCACCGTTGTCACTAGGGTTTATAGCATATCCAAAATTCTCGAAATTGTGATATTGCTCATGAAACTTTCCCTCATTTAGGTATATCTGTTCTATTACACCGTTAAGGTGATTGTTTTTTGTTATTAATTGATTGTCAGTCTTGAATCTGTTTATTTCATTTGAGAACTTTTACAACTAGAGATCCGTTATATTAACATCTGGAGCTAAATTAATGTCTATAGCTGAGGTTTGTACAAGAGACTAATCTTCTTTTTAGTCAACTAAGGGCTCATCAAGTTTGGATTATATAGGCTAATCATCTTCTGATGAGGAAGTGTATGCTTGTTGAATTTTAGATAATAAGTCCATTTTATGATTTAAATATTTTATAATAGTATTAATAATTTAATAAGTAAGTTGATTAATTCAAAATTGATAGCGCTTTGGAATTAATATGTTTACCATAACAAAATAAATGAGTTAAGAAGGATGTTCATTATTTATTAAATCAAACGAAGACTGTTCAAGAGTCTTAGCTCTGCTTTTTAGACTTTTTCTTTTTGTCCTTCTTATCTTTTTTATCTTTTTCACTTCCTCTAGCACCACTTCCTCTCTTTCCACTTACTTTGGGTGCTTGTTTCTGCAAATCCTTGACTTCATCGTCAAGATCATCATCAACCATTGAAACATCATCATCGTCTTCCATTTCTTCATCCTCGTCACTTCCCTAAGGGCTACCTCCATCCTAGAATGATTCATCATCCTCAGAGTCATAGTCATCGACAAGCATAGCAGCATTTTAGACTGGCTTACGGACTCTCTTGCCTAATCCACCTGAAGCAGCCTGTTTCACTTCCTCGTCATCTTCAAATTCATCTTCTTCATCGCCCTCATCAAAGTCAACTTGCTATTAGGTTTCTAGGTCAACACTTCTCATTTTAATATTCTTAGATTTCAAGTAATTGACAAGATTCTTGTGTTCAGCTTTATCAATACCTGCAAATGTAGTTGAGGTATTATCTTTTAGATTGGTAATAATCATGTCGAAAGATCTGCTTGGAATGCCAGAGCTTACTTAGCCAACTCTTTAGAACTCGACAAACTTGATCTCAGAGTGCTTCATGTAGATGACTGGTTTGTGAATGAAGATAATTGAGCTCTTTAGAGGATATAAATAGCCATCATAAGCCTTGACTGAGCACTTAATAGCATCCTCTTTGGTGTTACTTTTGAACTCACTTGGAATCAAAATGTTGATCCTAATCAGTTCCTTGAACAGCTTAGAAATCACATCAAACAAGGGACCTTCAATCTCAGGTGATAGTCTATCTTGATACTACTCTTTAATCTGCTCTGGTGATAGATTCAATTGCACCTTCAGTGTTTTCTCTCTTTCAAATTGCAATGCAATGAAGTGATGTAAAGTTTGACCTTGTCTCAATGGGACCTTAAGTTAAAGTACATAAGCCATATGCTTGCCATCTGGTTTAGGCAGCAAGAAGCCCTTGGTTATATCTTTGTATTAGATCTTATAATCATTTGTTCTGCCGTGAAGTTTAGCAAATGTACTGTATAACTAGAAAGAGTATTTGCCTCTTGGGATGATCATGTTTAAATCGGATAGCGAAGCTATCATCTCTCCAGCAAATTCACCAATGCCTGCAGCCTTGATTATCTTCTCATTGAAAATTTAAGCTGGAGTTACAGTGTTCTCTTCAGCTTCATCTTCATCCTCATCATCTTCTCCATCATCATCGTCTCCGTCTTCCCCTTCCTTCTTTTTCTCTTCCTTCTTCTTCTTTTCTTCTTTCTTATTCTCATCCTTATTTTCATCTTTCTTCTCTTCCTCCAGACTATCTAACTCACTATTAGGCACGTAGAATCTCATCTCAGTTAATATATCTCCTTTATCACTACATAAATATTAATATCCTGTATTTGTTGGCATGGCGGACAAATGCCTTAAATTCTGCTAAATCGTATTTTATGCATTCGCACTTACTTTCAATCGGCATCTACTTGAAATTCAAGAGCCACCTCATTCTTTCCAGTTGCATTTGACAAGGCGATGTCCTTGTAGTTTATTAAAAAGCATTATTGTCCGTTCACATTGAATGCCATGTTTTCCTTATTGAAGTCATAGTAACCCCAGTTCCAGCCTTTAGAGCTCACTACTTTTTCACTCATATTTTAATACTTTTGATATTCCGCCAAAATTATTATTATCAATGCATTCTTCTGCGTTTATATTTGTAAGCCGGGGTTTTGGGGTTTTGGGG